GATCCTCCCACCTGCAGCCTTCCATACAGCAGGGATCACAGGTATTAACCACCAATACGTCACGCAATTATAAAATACAATGTATATTATATATCCTAATACACTGTTAATTTTTTTCTTGCAACAAGAGAGAAGTGGTGAGGGCCAGCATGAATCCGTGTCTGTCTATAACCTCACACATATGGGCACACCTACACACACACACACATAAGAATGTTTTCCAAACTTCAATCATAATAAAAAATCACCTTGGGAACTGATTGGTGTCAGAGGCTTCTTCAGACCTATTAAAATGAAATTTCCAGAGAAGGAGCATGGGGCTCTGCAGTTCTAACAAATGACTGAATTGTTTCAAATCAATCAGCTTGAGACATATTGCAGTCCTCACATGAGTCCATGAATGCATACTGAGAAATTAAATAACAATTCTAAGGACTCCTAAAGTGGGAGAAAGTCAATCTGTCTTCTAAACTTTTGTTCTTTTCACTGGTGAAGCTGCCTGTGTCACTGAGAACATGATCAGGGTGAATGTGGAAACATGGAACTAAAATGCTTATTATAGACAAATTCATTTCGATTGCTACGTAAAAACAATGTTATGATCTGTTTTAAAGTGCCAGAGAAAAGAACATTGAGTCATTGAAATAAGAGCATCTTTTTAAGAAGGAAAATGTAATGATTTATGGGAAAGCTGGAGTTTTCCTGTGTCCAGAGGAAAATCAAGCACAAATTTGGCCAAGAAATGAGACATCCTACAGCTTCAGAGAGCTAAAGAAAAGAGTTCACCTCATAGAGGCCAAGCATAGAATGGTGGCTCCCTGGGGCTCAGGGTGGGGACGTTGGAGACATGTTGGTCAAAGGATATGAAAGTTCCCTGGCAGAGGAGAAGTAAGTTCAGAAGACCTACCACAATATGAGGGTTAGAGCTAATTAGAATGCACTCGAATACTGGTAAGAGTGGAGTTTAAGTGTCCTCACCACAAAAAATGGTAAGAATAAGAGGTAAGGGATATTAATGGTCTTGATTTAGTCGTTCCATAGCACATCCATACATGGAAATATCATATTTTACACCATAAATACATACAAATTTTATCAGTTAAAATAATTTTGTTTAATATTCTTACAACAAGAGAAAAATGATCTCCAGCTAGGACAGCTAACTATGAGCTCATGTCTTTAATTCAAAGACATGAGCTGCTTCTTCATGAGGAAGTCTTCAGAAATGGAAGGTGCTATTTGACCTGCAGTCTCTTTTTAGTGGACTTCAGGAGTCCATGAGCACTTAAAATAGTATCGACAATTTTGTATAAATGTATGGTTTCTGGCAGAGTCTGTAGCTTTCACAGGTTTCTCATTAAAAATTCACAGCACAAAATGTTTGAGTGAATGGAGAAATTATCATTTTAATTAACTCAGTTGATTATTAAGAGAAAGTAGGCAGGTACCAGTAGTTCATGCCTATAATCCTAGCTATATGGGAGGCTAAAATTGGGAGGATTCAGGTTCCAGGGCAGCCCAGTCAAATAGTTCACAAAACCCCACCTCTATGGACTTCATATGCCTATGAAATGGAACAATGAAACCTCTTGCAATTGATTGAAGTGGGGTGGGAGCGGTGGAGAGGGAGAGATGGTAGAAGCAATCTAACCAATGTACAATATAAGCCTATTTGGAATTGTCACAATGAATCCCCCCTGTACAAAAATATATCCTAATAAAAAAATTTTTTAAAGACTACCACCTCTAAAACAGCCAGAGCAAATGGTCAGGAGGTGTGGTTCCACAATAGAGCACCTGCTTTGCAAGTGCAAAGACTGGAGTTCAAACCCCAGTCCCACCCACAAAAAAAAAAAAAAATGAGCAAGAGAGAAGTAGGTGGTCTTGAAGTCAATAGAAAGCCTCAGACGGGTCAAGAAGATTCAAAGCAGAGTGTGCTGGTAATTGTTTATTTGTTGGTCATCCATTGGGACAAGCCCTAATACACAGCATTTGTCTCTGTGTATACAAACCACCACGGCCAATTTCCAGCTACCAATGAGACACTGATACAGGATATTTGTGCAGGACCGAAAGCTTCCACTAGACCTTCCTGGCTTAAGTGTCACAGCATTTTAACCAGAGGGACTTGTCAGCATGAAACCAAAGAATGAACTTCCAACAACGAAGGGAGAGTGTAAAAGTAGGAAAGTTTATTAAGTGAAAGAGCAAAAGCTACATGGGAAGGGAGGAGTCCCAAGTGGACAGCAGAGTCTAGGGGTTTTTATTGACCTTGTTCAAGATGTAGCTCAATTTACATGATAATTAGGTACATGAAGTGTGCTATGCTCATTGGCTGATTGCCAACACAGCAAATGCAGGCTGGAGAGCTACGTTTACCTTATTTGTATTAAGGGCAACCAGCAATTCCCACTTAGGTTTGTCCTGCCCTTCCTTCCTCCCCTTAATCGCCCCTTCCCTGGGTCAGGGGGAAGCCTCCAAGAAAACAGGATGTTTTGCTTTGGGATTTGGAACATTTTGCCCAATATTGAGTGCAAGGGTGTTTTGCAAGATAAATAGTCACTGGGTCTGCTTCTTGGTGGACTTTCCCTGGGATCCCCTAGCTGTTTTACCTATTCCACACTAAATCACATGGTACCTGCAAATGTTAGTAATCAGCTTTCACAAGCCTATAAGAGTCAGCTCCAACACTTTTTCTTTCTTTTTTTTTTTTTGGAGGTGGTACTGGAGTTTGAACTCAAGGTCTCATGCTTGCTGGACAGGCATCCTACCACTTAGCCACTCCACTAGCCCTTTTCTGTGTTGGATATTTTTGAGAAACATTGTCTTGAACTATTTGCCTGGGCTGGCCTTGAACTGTGATCCTCCTGATCTTTGGCTCCCAAGTAGCTAGGATTACAGACGTGAGCACCAGTGCCCAGCTATCAGCAGGCTTCTGATTCAAGGTGAGTTAGTTTTTCTCAGGTCTGAGGGAAACTAAAATGAGATCAAGTTAATAATGAAAATAGTTGAATTAAATTTTATGCATTTTCCATTTAAATTTTGTAAACATCCTTTTAAATAGTGTATTATTTGAAGACTTTTTGACAGACAGTGCTATAGTTTTGAGGAAGAAATCAGAACTTTCCAGAGCTGTGATTCAAAACTGGAGTCCTGGGCACACTGCAGCATCATCCTGAAAAAACTTCTACTAACCAAGTTCTCAAGACCCCACTCAGACCTTCTGAGTCAGAAACCCCAAAATGGGACCCAGCCATCCGTCCATTGAGTTCTGAGTGAGCTGGGGATGCACACTGAACTCTGAGAACCACTTCTGAACAGTAGAGGTTCTCAATTTTAGCATGCCCAGGAATCACAGGAAGAATTTGTTAAGACGCACAGTCCTGGCCCCCTACACACCTGGTAAGTCAGAAGCTTTAGAGGCGAGACTCAGCAATAGAGCTACAGTTTGTTCTTTTTTATTTTAGTCTTATTTATTTATTTACTTATTTGCACTAGGATAAAAGAAACAAACTTCCTATCTTAAAAATGATTAACTATATACTGAAGTTGGTGGAAGAATGTGAATCATCACCCAGCTTAAACAAATATCGTTTTCCTGTCTTGTTCATGTCCTCCACTTCATTTTTAGTTTGTTTTCTATGGAGATAAGTTAATTCCTGTCATCTCACCAGCAGATACTTCAGTGTGTCTCTAAGAAGCCTATTGCCAATTGCCATTACTAATAATAAGCATTGATAATAATTCCTTAATAGCTTTGCACAGAAAAGCAAAAATGTCTCTCTGTAGCTGGCCAGCACATTGTGCTCCGTTGTTGTCCTTGTATTCTGGAATAGTTTCTCCTTCCTCACCCTTAAGGATAAGTTTGTTGAAAAAGCCAGGCCAGGTGTTCTTTACAATTTTCTACCCTCTAGACTTGGCTAAGTGCATCCTCTTGATTTTCTTTCATATGTCTGGTAAATTCATCCAGAGACTTATTTCACTTTAGGTACATTTGTTTGGCAAGAGTATTTCCCAGGTGACCCTGGGGACTTTCTACTGTTCCTATCAGCAGGCACACAGTGACTGGTTATAACCCTTTCAGTGCTGTTGAATTGATCAGTGGATACAAGTGTCATCTAATAGATCTATACAATAAAAACTACAAATCACACTGCATTTCCTGCTCCAGACTACGCAAGGATGCCTGGCTCCTTCAAGCCAAGACTGGGGGGGTGTACATTCCTAGTAGGTATTCTCAGTGGGAGCTGTGATAGACATTCATTTTTCAGAAGAAGGAAAACAGTGAGTTCATACCAATATTTGCTATTCAATTTTTAATATTGTCCGGCATTTATTTGACATTTATGCTGATGGTCTGACTTTCAAACCAACAATTTCAATATTACTACTAACAAAAAAACCCACTGAATGTGGTTTGAAGCTTTATAAAAAACACTGTTTTAAAGTCATTTGAAAGATTTCTTTTTATGATATGTCACCAACTTGATGTACTATTTGTTTTACTTTGTGTTAAATTAGAGGGAATTATTTTTTAATTTATAAAATTTTCAGGTGATTCTAAAAATGAACAAAAACAAGTTACATTCAGAGATACCTAGCCTTCGTTTATCTCCTCTATTTCAATATCTTAATACATACATATCAGTATAGCCCCACATTTTCTTACACATATGGTAGCATACATTGTTCTATATCTGACTTTTTCAATTAACATTTTGTCCTGGAGATAACATATCATATCAGTATATATTGAGGCCCCCTTTGTTCCCTTCTGTAGCCTCATAAGCACTACATCACAGCTTACTCAATCAGTATTAATGTACTCTCAGTTTATTTCCAGGTTTTTGCTACGACATTACACCAGAATAAGTAGACTGTGTATATACCAGTTTGTATTTTTGCCAGTGCGTGTGTGTATATATATATATACACACATAAATAAATATGTAATTTGGGCAGATTACTGATTGCCAAATATTCCCCAAAAAATGTTGTACCTAGCATGGCAGATGTCATGCACCTGTAGTCCTATCTATTCAGGAGGCTGAGGCAGGAGAATTGATTGAGCCCAGGAATTCAAGACCAGCCTGAGCAACACAGCACGACCCCTGAGAAAGAGAGAAGGAGAAAGTTGTATCATTTTGAATTTGCAAAGTGTACTAGACTGCTTATTTCCCCACAGCCTTACCAAAACACGTATCAAAATCCTTTATTTTTTATATGCAGTAAGTGAGCAATGGTTCCTTAATGTGGTTTTCACTACATTTCTCCTTATGAATAAGAAGTTATGGGCCAAGTTTACATTCACATTGTTTCTTGTGTGTTGTCTGTTCTCTTTAGCCTATCCTTTCTTTGGAAAAGGGGGAAAAAACATTTTATAACATAACTAAATTTTTTGTGTTTTTATCATAGTTTCCCCTACTGCTTGTGTATTTTTAGCCTTGCATGTTTCCTACTCTCTGGGTACAGGGAAATTCACCTGTTTTTGAATAGATCTTTTTCTGTACCTTAATTTTACACAAACTCCTGAAGAAATTCTCGTGCACACCGAGCCTGCAGCTCACAATCCAAGCGTACGAAATGATGTCAGACATTGCAGTTACTTAACATGAAACACGTTTAATAATCAGTCATGTCTATGCTTTTCTTAATTCTTCTACATGGTGTCAGTGCACTCTGAAATCTTCTTGCCTGAATAATAAAACGTTCCATTAGTAAAGCAGAAAGGATTCTGGAACAATTTGTGCAATGGGTAAACATGTTCAATTATTAAAAACCTTACGTTTCTAAGAGAAGACAACATAAATCATTACGATGCATCCCACAATCCAGCCAATCAGGAGAAGAATTGGAACCATAAAGTGTGATAATGTAGATTCTGCTTAAAAATAGGAAACAGATTGGTTAGCTTGGCATTAAATCTTTTGAATCAAAAGAGGAAAGAAACTGTTAATATTAGGAAAAATACACTCTCTAGATATACCCATACATAATCATTTTTTGTTTTCTTCAAAGGATACCTGTGACTCAGTTATAAACCTGGGTATTTGGAATGGAAGAACTACTAGGTTCTTCCCTGTACTACCGCTCTTCCTTTAACAGTTACATGACCTTGGGCAATCCTGAAGTTGAACTTCCCTATTTGTAAAATATGGGTGATGAAGCTTGTAATACTCACCTCCTGGGTTTGTTGTCAAATAATATGACTTGAAAAGCTTTGTAAACTCCAAGCACCCTGTGGGTGTTTAGTGTACACAGAGCACATTCACGCATTTGTGCAATAATGCATATGGCAACTGTTTATGGAGCAAGAATCCAATATAATTCTGAAGTAATTCCTACTAGACTAAATTACTCATAACAGAGGGAAATGTTTTGAGAATTGCTCTTGGTCTCTATAGCTGCTTTTAAAGTTTCACAGGGAAAAGGAAAACATCATACCTTATATAATCATTCTCAACTGGAGAAAAGAGATTCTATTTCTTGAAACTAGTTCACTATAATTATCAACACTGACTTGAATCTATGTGCAATAATAAACCAACACACCTGGCAGACTGTATCTGTGATGCCTCTTGCACATCTTATTGTAAAAGAGAATTTATAAAAGTATCTTTTTTCTTAACATTCACTGAATCTCAGTCTTGTTCTTTCACACACCCACACTACAAAAGGATTCAGAAACAGCACAGGAAAGATATCCTATAGAATTAATGTTCCTGATTTAAGGACTCAAGATATATTCTTTATAAAAATTTTATTGTTTTTACATTTACTTACATGTGTATACATTATTTGGGCCTCATCCCTCCACCCGTGCTTCCGGACAGAAGCAAGATATATTCTTAATTGAAAAAGGTCTTATACCATAGTTAACAAAGAGAGTGCATGCTCTTAGCAACTGTACTCCATTACAATTCCTGTCTGTTTAAAATGTGAAGGTTTCTTTAAATGCTGTTAAAATAAAGTGATCGGGAAATGAGACACTTCTAAAATTAGAAGATACTCTCATAAAAGCAAATTTTTCTGAGATTTAAAAGAATTTTAATACTTTCAAGCTATTTTTACAAACTGTTGGAATCTCTCACTGTGACCTTGAACAAGGCATTAACACTAAGTGAAAACCCTTCCTCTTTACCTGCCAAGTGCTATTGCTTTAAGGATAAAGCAAGCATGAAGTGGTCTTTACTCTCAATGAAACAAAAGGTTTTTTTTATGAATACCTTTTTAAGGTACCAGTACAGTGAAAGTACATAACAGTAATTTTTAAAAACTGTTTATGTAAGTAACTTAGTATTTTTGTCAATTTCAAAGAATTTGAAAATTAATTAATTTAATTCAAATTAAATTAATTTGAATTAATGCTCAATTAATTCAATTGAGTGTTTCTATATAAGCACATTTCAATAAAAATTAATAAGGCATATTTTAATAAAATTTACGTGTCATAAAGCTATAAAAGTAAATATTCTATTATTGACTGTTCTTTGCAAGACAATAAAACTGTGCATTTTAATACTTAAAATCAGTGCATCCATTTTTTTTAATACTAATATTTTCGGTTTTGCCACAATCTATAGCATTGTTTGGAAGTAGGGATACATAAGGACCCAACATTCTTTCTAGATTACTTACATTTACAGCACTAATAAGAACAAAACTTCTCTTCAGACACCAAGAGTAATTTCAAAATGCCCCACTTTGTCCAGTTCTGAGCATACAAAAGTGGCTACAGCTGACAGTATTCTTAAGGGAACTGACCTGTGGATCCAGATTCCAGGTTCAAGACCTGGTGCCACCACTCTCTAGTGATGGTGGGTGGATAACTTCACCATGTCTGTTTCTTTATGTATAAAATGGGGGTCAGCTTCTCAAAGGTGTTATCAGAATTAAAAGCAAAAAATCCTGGAAATACTTAAAAGCTGTTTCTTAGGCACAGATAACTTCAGCTTATTTTGTTATATTGAGTCAAAATATATAAATATGTAAAGATGAAAACTGTTTAAATACCAGGAAAAATTGTAGGTGTGGAGCATGTTAGAGAACATCAGGATATCTTCATTTTGCAGTCAAAAACAGGCTCCAGGGAAGCAGAGACGATTCTCCAAACTCACAGACACTCAATAGACCTGACACAGAACACAACTGTGCTCAGTTCTGGTCAAGCACCCCCAGAACCTCAACTCTAACGCAACACTGGAACTTACCTTACAACTTACCTTTCAAAAAGAGCATGAACAAAGTTAAGCTCTTCTGTTTGATCCTTTCAGGCACTGTCCACAAATTGAGTTATCTAAAGCCTTTTTGGAAGCCACACTACAATATAAAGCTAATGATACTGTAGCAGAGATACCATATTCTTCAGAATGAAAATACTAAGAAACACAAATAACCTAAAATCTAGAAGCTTTTTTTGCCCAGAGAATCTGATGCCTGGAACCTTACCTTTTTCGGCCATTGTTCCTGTTGTTGAGTGGCTTAGTTAGGGCCAGGCTAACCTCCTCCTTATTGTTATCCAGTGTCTCTTTGAACTTTAAATAGAGAGATATCTGAAGAGTGTGGCAGCTGCCCCTCTCCTAGCTGCCAATTGTCTGCAGGGTGATGTAAGTCACGGGAAAGCTGGACTCCTCTGCCTCTTCTTTATCCTAGCATTGTAGAGGAAGCAAGGGGCTATGGACCTGACCTTCACAATTAAGTGAGCTGAGTTTCCCCAATGCACAGATACGCAGATTTTTAATTTGCTTACTGCCTTCAGACCACAAGAAGAAAATGTTTAGTGAAAGGGGTACACAGAGGAAAAATGACATTGAAACTACAAGTTCTGTCAAGGACAGAGGGAATATATTGGAAAGAAAGGACTTTGGAGGAAAGAGACCTGGGTTCAAATTCCACTTCTGCTACTTTAATAATGAAAGCCAAGTTCCCGAACCTGGGCATTGGGTTCATTAATTTTAAAATTTTTAAATGAGAATAACAATACTTACCCAGGAGAGTGCATAAAGATGAAATGAAAAGGCTATGTGAAATATAGACAGCTCCTTATTATCTTACAGATGCAAAACAATGTATGCACATGTGAATAAATGAATAATAAACAAAGAAAGAATAAATAAATAAATGTACAGGACATTTCTTACCATTTTCAGAGAGCTTGTTGTTTTATTAGCAATGTATAAAAATAGAACATTTCATTTTTCATAGTCCAACCTGGTTTATGTAACATGACCTAGACCGCTCTCTAGATTATCATTACAATAGCTTTGATTTTGAAGTCTGGATGGAAAAGTTTTACAAAGTGACCTGGTGACTAACTTCCCTAAATCCACCATGAGATCAAAAAAGTCTCCTGGAAGAGAGTGCGGCCTGATCAAATCCACCTCCACAACTTCGAGAGTTGGGTTGCTCTGAAAATCATCACACATACCATCACTGCTCAAATCTGTCACAGGTTCTCCATCTCCTACAGACCCTGCACTCAGCTCACCGTTTGCAATGAGACTTCATCCACACTGAACAACTTGCTGTTATATGAACTCAGAATACTCCCGCCCACACAGGCAAGGAGAATGTGACTTTGTATCTCAGGTAAAGTATCTTTAGGTTAGAATGTGGAACCCATAATCTAGTATGCTTATGTCATTCAAGTCGAATTGTCACCTCAGCCTCTCTACTACTTAACCCTGGAAAAAATGCCTGGCTGTACCAGGTAAGCAGAGAAACTGTGTTGTCTGTGTCATGAAATCCCTTTTCTATCTAGTAAAGTTGGCTATTTTTTCCCAGTAACAAGTAACAACATATTTTTAAAAGGTAAAATGAGGGCATGAGACAGAAAGAAGAAGGAAAAGTGATGACTGATCTCACTTTAATACAAAAATAATAATTTATTTATTCATTTTCATGGACCTAATAATTACACATCTTTATGGGGTATAGTGTGATGTTTTGACACATCACAAAATTGTAGAATAACCAACTCAAAATATTTATATTTCAAATGAACATCCATGTTATCTAAAGAGAAAGAAACATTCAAAAGAAATAGTGATGTTACCCCCCACAAAGAGCACAAACATACATCCATACTAAGGTAAAATAATTTGCCTAAAATATATAAAAATAGAATATATAAAAAGGTTTCTACATTTTAAACAGTCATTTCCATTTCAATTATATTAAGCTTTTTTTCTTTACTACAAAATAGACTGTTATTAATATTATTGCTATCAATTTAGGGAAAAATCACTTTCATAATTCACTATTTCTTACTTTTCTATAGAAAGAGAGAAGGAGGAAAAAAACAAATTCAATGAGCATGAATTGCCCAGACCTCAGAAAAGACTTCAGCCTAGAATCTCATTTCCTTGGCATCTCATAAGTAAACTTTTTAAGTTTTATAATATTTATTCAGGAAAATGTTTTATTCATTAATAGGCCGGTTTCATTTTGAACTCACAAATCTGAAGCCTGTATTTGACCATTTTCCAATCTTCCTCTGAGGACATACTGCTTAGGAACATTTTCTATTTCCTACTTTACATACTCTCTTAAAGGTTTAGCTCTCAGATGCCTTTTTTTCAAGGTGACATTAGATTCTTCTAGGGCACTTAAGTTAAAAAATTAAACTATTTGATTCCTTAGTCAAAACAAATCAGAACTCCTTGCTTTTCAAATATTTTAAGCACCAGTGTCTGGAATGTGGTATGAAATCCTAGACATAATAGATACTCAATAAATCTTTCCTTGATGGCTGGCTGACTGGCTCAATGGCTTGGGGGTGGGTGGATGGGACAATAAATGGAGAACAAGGTAGCTTGGTTAGCACTCTAAACAAAGATATATGATGGTGATACCTAAGGAAGTAATAAAGGGATGGGTGAGTGGCTCAACTGGTAGAGTGTGGACCTCACAAGTGCGAGGCCTTGAGTTCAAACCCCAGTGCCACTAAAAACAAACAAAAAACTAAGGAAGCAATAAGGTAATCTTAATTGTATGCTATCCTCATAATATAACCTAATATGCACACACTTTATAGTCTACCTAATTACTGATAGCATTAGAATAATCATAGTTCAGGATATATCAAATAAAAGAATAAAATAAACAAAAAAAATGGAAGAATAAGGGTTTCCAAAGATATCTCTCCTCCATAAAATCAACAGGAAACTTGCTAAAATTTCAGAGTCCAGTTTTTCAGAAATCTGGACTAACCAAATACAACAATTTGGGGAGCTTTTATTTAAGATCTCAGTAAAATAGCAACTCTCATGGTAGGTTTATTTGGTTTATTGACAACTTCCCCGCCTCTAACTTTGCAGTAGACTTGAAAATCAGTATTCCACAGCATCAGTGAAAACCAGCATCCTGGCAGCCAGCAGGGGCACAGGATGCGGGAGGGCTTCTTTAAAGTCTTATGTCCAGAAAGTCGTCATTATATGATGTGGTGATTCTCCAAAAGACACCACTTGCAAGGTTGTCTTTGTTTGAACAGATTCAGCATTTACCCAATGTGAAAATTATTACCACCCAGAGCATCTGCTAAAAAAAAAAAAAAATTAGGCAATTGTTCAACATCACAGTTGCTTGGATAACAGTTGGAGTGAGGACTGGCAGAGTAAGTCAAGTGGTAGAATGCCCACCTAGAAAGCAGGAGGCCCTGAGTTCAAACCCCAGTACCACAAAAAAAAAAAAAAGAAAAAGTTGGAGTGAACAAAAAACTAATTTAAAAGTTTAAAAAAGAGAAGCTAAGTAGCCAGGTATAGTGGCTTATACTTGTAATCCCAGCTATTAGGGAGGTGGAGGTAGGAGGAGGATTGTAGTTAGAGGCAGCCTGGGCAAAGTTAGTGATAGCACCTATCTGATAAAACAAACCAAAAAACAAAAGGATCAGGGATGTGGTTCACATAATAGAGTGTGTGCCTAGCAAGCACAAGGTCCTGAGTTCAATCCCCAGTACTGTGGGAAAAAAAAAAAAGAGAGAAGCTAGGGAATGAGATGTGCATAGAGTCCTTGAAAAACACCACATATCCCTGGAAGCTACAAGGCCACATGTATGTGCTTAGTTGTTTACACACCCATAGCTGTGGGTGTGTACAGGAAAGACCTCGCCAGGCACAAAGCTTTCTCCTTTGACCAGCTTTGAGGCTCGAGGTAGGAAGTGAAAGTTAAAACTCCACTAAAGTCATTCCCTAACACATCCACAGAGCTCACTGTCAAAATCTGGGACAGTAACTGGTTCCAGCCATCTAAGAAATCTCTGTTCAATTATTAGCTGACAACTAAACAAATTGAGCAGAAACTTCAATGACCACATACAATGAAGAATACAGAGTGTACAGGATCAAGTTCAGAAAGTTGCTAAGCAAACAAACAATAACAGCAACAACAACAAACTCTTGGGAAGAGGGGGATTCTGATCTCAAGAGTTGTCGTGCTAAATTATTCAAAATGCCCAGTTTTAACAAGAAATTATGAGACACACAAAACAGTATGATTCATGCCCAGGCTGTAAGAAGCAATCAAAATAATAAGTTGCTCTTCAACTTATGGTGGAATTATATCCTGATAAACCCATTATAAATTGAAAATTTCGTACGTCAAAATGTGTCTCATCCACCTATCCCACTGAGCATCACAGTTTAGCCTTGCTCGCCTTAAGCATACTCAGAAACTTATGTTAGCCTACAGTTGGGTGAACTCATCTGACACAAAGTCTACTTTATAATAAAGCAGTGAAAATCTCATAAAATTTATTGAACACCATACTGACAGTGAATACTGAATAGGTATATGGGTGGTCACCATTATTATACACAGCTGAAAGTACACTGGGCCTGAAGAATGTTTTAAGCACTGAACTAAAGTTCAGTGCTGTATGACGAGGTCATCCATTTCTCTCTTCCTGCGAGGCTTGGGGATCACAGGTATTAGACACCAAGACAACGTGTTGATGAGTACAGACAGGGCCTAGTGCTCTTGAGGAAGGTAGCAATGCTTTCTGTATAGTTTGTTTCTCCTTTTCATTATATATTTCTCTACAGTAAACAAGAACACACGCATCTTTCTGTCAGCTTCCGAGACTCTCACCATTGGCATGCTTTTCTTCCAATATCCATACACCTACCTCCGCTAGTTTATTTTCTGGGAATATTCTTGATGCCTCAGGTATCTATTATTCTTCCTTACCTTGACTTCTTTCTTCCTCCACTTCAATCAGCTCCTCATTGGAAAGATATTTTACACCATACCAAAAATTTCATGAGCCAGGCACAGTGGCTCACTTCTGTAATCCTAGCTACTTGGGAGGTGGAGATTGGGAGGATTCTGGCTAAAGGTCAGCCAAGGTATAAAGTTCACACAAGACTCCATCTCAACCAATAGTTGTGTACTGTGCACATACCTGTCATCCTAGCTACTCAAGGAAGCACAAATAGTAGAACTGCAGCCCAGGCTGGCCCAGGTATAAAACAAGACACTATCTTAAAAATAACTAACGTAAAAAGGGCTGACAGAGTAGCTCAAGAGGTAGAG